GCCGTCGCGCACCTTGAGCGCGTCCATCCGCGCGAGAAGGACGTGACGCGGATGGCACAAGTGCTGCTCACGTGATATAGCACGCGTTATGCCCATTCCAGGAGAATTACATCTTTGATTCAGATTCATCAGATGTCCATGCTCGGAGCGTCAAGAAGTTTGCAACGACGCGCGCGATCGACCTCGAGTTGGCAAAATTTTGAAGCTCGATGCCATCTGCTGTTCGCTCGAGGCGCCCCAGTCACCGTCTGCTTCTCGATTTTCATAACCCGAGAAGCCCTCATCCAGGACAGGACAAGCAGGCAAGAGTCAGGCTGGAGATCGCTACGCCGAGAGAGAGGAAGCGCCCGCCACTCAACACAGACAGACGTCAGTTTGGTCGAACAAGATGACCTCGGCAACGACTCTCCGCCGGCTCTTGCACCCTACAGCGCTATCACCGCCCCACAGGAGCCTTGCCACGTGTCAAACGTGCCCCTCGGCCCAGCTTAGCCAGGCCAGATACTATCGGCCTTATGTACGAGTCAGGGCAACTGGTACATCTGCCAAGGACAACGAATCGCAGCCCTGCTCCGCTTCTGCGCGGATACCGCTGCGCGCGGGCTCGGTGTTTGGTGTCAGCTCCAGTCGAGGCTCTCGAGCGTACCAAGAAGATGCCTGGTCAGCTTCTTGCGTCTTGCTACCACCCAAGGCCATCAAAGCTAGCTTGGCTTCTGGTTGGAGCAGGATTGCCAAAGAGGCTGCGGCTAGGTGGCACCCTGAAAGCGATGCGGAAGAAGCCGCGAATGCCCAAGGAGTGGAAGGTTTGGACAATGCAAAGGAGAGGGAACAGGCATTGATGGAGGAATACGGACAGATTGTTTGGTTCGGCTGCTTTGACGGGTGAGCGTACGCGGACAGCCCAGTGCCAGCGCCTCACGCGATCCTGTTCGACGTGCAACTCATCCCCCGCATCACTCTTTTCGTGCGCAGTCATGGAGGTCGAGCCATTTCCACGTATCTCAAGGACACTTTGCATGCAACTTTCGAATTAGCAGATCCTCGCCTAGCGACCAAGATTGCGCAATTCACTCGTTCACTCGGCGGCTACTTTAGAAGGTTCGCGGGAGGCGGCATGCAGCGATGGGTCAGACAAGAGCTACTCAAGCCCGTCAGGGCTGGTAGAGGCTCCGCTGGACGTGCGCCTCGGACGCCAGCACCCATGGAAGCTCAGACACCGCAAGATGTCGACGCTCGCGATAGCAAGCCGGCTCAAGAGCTGGCCGCTCAGCGAGGTCTGAGTGACGAGTCCACCACGCCGCAGTCCGGCGAGAGACAGATTATAGACGGCAGTGACATTGGTCTGGTAGATCCACCGGATGCAGTCAGCTCAGAAGAGATGACGATCGCGGAGAGATGTACGCTTGCCTGGCTTATGGCCGACAAGGAAATTCAGCAGTCGGAACACCTGAACGTCGGAGGCTCCACCGCTAGCGTTGCTCTCTTACATTCGCTCGACGTTCCAGCCACGCCTTGGTATTCGTCTCGCCTGCTAAGCATCACCACAGCCCAGATCGGCGACACTCGGCTGCTGCTCTGCGGATCTGACGGGCGAGCGATCCCCCTGACAAACTATCACCATCCAGACGATAGGGGAGAAGCGGATCGTCTACGCAAAGTCGGAGCGGGGATGATCACAGACTCATTCGGCGAAGCTCGTTGGATGGGGGCGCTGGCAAACACTCGCGCATTTGGCGACTCCGGCTTCAAGAAGGCTGGCGTTACAGCCGAGCCAGAAGTCATCACCCAGGTCATCAAGGGCGATGATTACGCTTTCGTGATTGCATTCAGCGATGGAGTTGGTGAGAAAGTCTCAGATCAGGAAGTCGTCGACCTTTGTCGAGATGCGGGACATCCTAGCGATGCTGCCAAGGCTGTTTTGAGCTTTGCCGAAGAGCTTGGAGCTGAGGACAATGGCACTGTGCTGGTCATACCATTGCGGGGCTGGGGCAAGGTGGGCGGAGAAGACACGACGCGAGCCCAAAGAGAGTTCAGGAAGAGCAAGACAGATGTATTCCGGGAGGGCAGGAGATAATTGGACCGCAGACAGAAGTGGTTTCTGAGTGCAAAGTTCCAGATGATCAGCTTTCATGTCCGTTCGCCACATCGGCAGCATGATCTTCCCCTTGCGCTCGCATCGCAATCCGAAAGTCGCTCGGGTCTTCATCGCCACGAATCAGGCCCTCAGCGATCTGCTGGTTGTGAAGCTTTTTGAGGTAGGGCAAGACCGAGGCGGAATAGAGCGGTGCTGCCTTGTACTCCATCAAGTCCGCCGGCGCCTCTTCATGCACTTTCAACAAGAGGGCAGGCAACAGAGGCAGAGTGGCCAACTCTGACAACCTGCGCCTCATCTGCATCGTTGGCAAGCAACCTCATCTTAGTCTTGCCAGAGTATCGATCTTTGGGAGGGCAAGGCAGCCAGCCAACCTACTCACAGGATGAATGCCCAAAAAGACCTGGAAGGGTGCATAAGTACATCAGCATCTCCTTCGGCGTGCGCCCGACGTGCGCTACTCACGCAGCCACTCTTCGGAAGCTTGATAAAGCTGCATGAATGAGGCAGAGGCCCTCGTCAGAGAAAGTCAGAGAAGATTTGGAGGTCGTTCCTCACGTCTGATGGTCAAGGCGTAGTACAAGGTCTGCTGGATTCTCCGTCACACACGCGTCGTTTGATCGCCCAGTGCGGTGCTCCGGCATCATTGGCACGGCGACTGCACCGTTTCTACCAGGCTCTGTCGGTAAAGGTCCTGCCATTGGCGCCCAAAAGAGGTGATCTGGATCATCAACGATTTCCCAGCTCGTCCTCTCGATTGGCGCCTCAGGCTTCAGACGCGTCAGAGATCGCTCTACCGAGCGCAGGATCTTCTCGTTGAATTGCGGCACCGGCGCATGTGTGTCGTGTAAGGAAAGACCAATCTTGTGCGAGACGAGGTAGAAGCCTGAAACGAAAGAGGGAGAGTCGCCCCGTCAACAAGAACACTCGCAGCGCAGGCTTGCTCCTCGCGTAGCTCACCAGGGAAGCAAACCAAACCACCAGCGCAAATCCAGGATTCGTCCCCCGAGGAAGATGGCCGCGCAATCAAGAAGTCGTCTTGCACCAAGCTGCGACAATCGAGTCCATCGAGCGTCAGTCCGGCTCGTAGCCACTCCGGGATGTCACTTCGGAGCTCACCGACTGATGACGCGAAGTGCTTCTACGCCTTGTCGCGCACGATCCTCGATGTAGAGCGCGTGCGTCTCGCCAGTGACCAGATTGCGGATGCCTTGCTTGTCTCCAGACTCGTACTCGTACAATTCAGGATACCTCGCTACGAGCCACGCGCTCATCAGAATCAACATTTCTGCACAAGCTTCCTCGCAATCTGGTAGAACGTCGCACACGGCTTTGCCCTGCGCCTTCAGCACTTTGGCTTTCCATTCCAAATCGCTTTTGTAGTTCTTGTCCGGCTCTATCCAGTCAGCAGGTTGCATCTGCTGATGGGCCATCGTCTGTGGCACGAGGCTTCGCGGTCAAACCTCTCCGATGCTCGACTGTCCCAACGAGTCCGACTCACTTGGTGGTACGGATGTCGAATGACCTTGTTGCCACTGCGAATCAAAGAAACGTCTTCAGTGGCTAGTCTCTGCCAGCGAGTCCTTTCCATGATCGTCGCCTCAAGCTCACTAGATATGATCTCGCGCCTCGTGCACGTCAATGTTTGCTGGGGTCAGCGCATGATCGGCTGGAGGCGTTGATATGAAAGCCAACGTAGCAGCTGATGTGTGCCAGGCTGCGAAGGTCCGCTCGGATGTTTAGACGACCATTGCCAAGCTGCAATGGCGAGCAGACTTGAAATTCGTACTGCACTCACATGGCTTCACAGTTTCCGTCTTGCCATGCCCTTGCTGCAGCACGGCTACACCTCTTGTCGCAAGTCTTTTTACTGCTTTCGAACTGATGGCTGGAAAAGCCAAGCACGCGGCGAGCAAAGCCAAAGACACCAAGACGAGAACACCAGACATCTTCGTCGCCTTCGCAAGGTACAAACATGGATGTTGTAGCTGATGGTCTTCTTGACGGCGGCAACAGCCGCGACCCAACCTTTCAAAGAGGTGTTGTGCAACCTTGGACGCTCTGTCGTTGCACACCAGCAGCTCCCCAAGGCTAAGATTAAAGCTAGACGCGTTCTTAGATCCGTCAAGTGCAAAATGCGTCGTTTCATCTCTACCGACGACGCATACGCGCGAAAATGCCGCGTCATGAAATGACTTATCTTGCAATCACAAATGTGAATGCTCCTTCCGACCTTTGCGAATTTAGCATCACGGCAGGGCAGATTGCCGACAAGCTTCTCCCCTACCCGTGCTTGGCAAGTCTGAGAGTCTTATCGCGATAAGAACGGCCCTCTGTCCTACTCGCCTGATCTGCGTGGACTGCGTGCGCGACGTGCGCGACGCTGATCTGGTTTCCCACGCCCGTACGGGCGACGTGTCTGTCCACGGCCTCTCTTCTTGGGTGGTGTGACCTAATTGCCATCCGCAAAGGTTGCGTTCGTTGCCAAATTACATTCGATTCCTATTCAGATGGTGTCAGCATCGCCTGCGCCAGGGTGCATGCTAGCTCTCTAGGTCTTGGGCGAGGCTTGGCAATGGCGCGAGTCGTAACTTCTCAGTCAGGCGACGCCTGGCCCGACCAGACTGATGAGCCAGCGAGGCGACTGTCCTAAGCTTCACCCTGCTGAGCAAGACGCTCGACCTGTCTAGCCGCCCATTGTGAATCACAATCGCAGTTGTGAGTCGAAGCATTACGAATTCATGATTACCCTAGGCGCTGTCGGCCCAACTTTTCACGTGTGACGTTCCGCCTGGCTGCCATGAGCTGATTGATGCTCGGGTCAAGTAAGAATCAAGCCGTGGCTCGGAGTCTTATCATTCAAGACGCGGGGAAAGATGGCTGTGCATGCGCGCTGGTGACAAAAGCCGCGGCTCAACTCTCGTGACTTTGCAAATGCCTCCACGCGCATGCGATCCCACGCATGGCTTTCGTGGATATTTCAGCAGCCCGCAATCGTGAATCACAATCGTGAATGCAGGCGGGCACCGGCTCTGGATCTCGATGTTCAGGTTGCTCGACGCAAGCCTTCATGATAGATTGAGTCAGATTGATTTATGAATATTGATCAAGCCACTCCGCCTGAAATTTTATGTACCGCCTCCGAAGTCGAAGCACTGCACTCTCTCATCGCATTGACTATGGCCTTGTCGAGCCAAAGTGACTCGTTTAGCGACGCGACATCAGACTGGAGAATCTGAATCGTCGAGACCTGACCATGGTGGACTCTGAATGATGATTTGAAAGTAGCGCCAGCTTAGACAAGATGGATCCGATCCGCGATCGCTGCTGCACCATGAGCGTCCAATTCAAGATGCCTGCGGTGCTCTAAGCCGCGGGTCAACTTGATCGTCGCTTTCAGGAGGCCGGCGATGCTGCGTCAAGCCGGTCCTGTTACAAGGGGTATCCGAGATACGCCTTGGGCGCTACGACTAGTAGCCACGCCACGAGCTCTGACCATCGCAATGTCAGGGGGTGCGCGCTGTGAAGCGCAGGGCTAGGAGTTAGTGGGATGGGCAGATGCGATAAACCCAAGCGAGATTAGCCGTGGCGACCCGTCCCCTGAGCAGCCAAGGACGCATGCTTGTTGAGCTATCCGGAAAACGCTGACGGAAACGGTATGTCACCCGCGGTTGGACTGGTCGCTAGTCGTCAGGCTCGGCATAATGAGTCAAGCATCAGGCTAGCGGCTATTGAGACGACTGCGGCGTAGTGTTCGAAAGCGTAGGCAGGGTGGGATCTATCGATAGTCGAGATCTGGGCGACCGCATGATGCGCGGTAGAGTGAACGGAAAACAGCTTGAGCTGCGAACACTGTCGAGCGGTCTTGACCTCGTCGTGAAAGACTACATCATATCGTTGATTCGAGCCATAAAAGGTCAGTGGGTGCGTCTTGTCGCGATCTTGCGGCGATGGTCGCTTGCGTCTGGATTCGTGACTGACAACAAGACGTTCGCGTGCACGCAGAGCTCCATAGTCCCCAATACTCACACAGTGCTTGTGACACCACCTCCTCATAGCGACCGATTCGCCATGGCTTTGCAAGAGAAGCTCGTGCCCTCTGCCAAACAGGCGTCACCATTCACGGTGCGCTCAACGCCAGTCTTCGACCCAAAGGTGCATCTCGCGTACGAACCACCTTCTCAGCGCTTGAGCATGGGCGACCTAGGCCTCGACGAGGCGCACAATGGACCATCGGTGAGTAGTATGTCCTCCTCGCGAGCACGAACACCTTGTCTGACGTAGGTGTACGCGACACCGATCCCGCTACTACGCCAAGTCTGCCATCGCCGTCACTGCGCCCTTTCCCCTGGCGTCTAGGGAGGGTGTGATTGCACTTAGACAAGCCATCCTGGACCCGGCAGTCCTGTCGCACTGCCTAGTCTATTCGCACATGACAGGACCGCACGCCCAGCTACGTGGCATGGCACCCCATGCGGCAGAATTTGTTGCCGAGTTTTGGCAACACCCAGAGGTGAGCTGCGCTGCACCGTCCCAGTCGGCTGCCCTTGGTGCTGATTGGTCCGTCCCATTTCATGCTTGCCTTGACAGACGCTCAAAGCCATCTCCGAGGCTGCCGGCGAGGAAGTCAGTAGCATGAGAAGTTTTTGGGCGATGGCGTTTACCGTCCAGCTGACGTGCTTTGGGATCGTCTTCACCGTTCCAGCTGGTACCGTACATGGACATAGAGCTTGGACATACCAACGTAAGTCCACTGCAAATCACGGCTGTCGTGTCCGCTTTGACGCTTGCTTCGTGTTCCCGACATGTGACAGATCCAAGTACCAAAGGGGATGTCGCGAGTCGATTACATGCGAGGACTTGACGCAGACCCATTTGCGCCGCCGTCAGTGTCATTGCTCAGCGACGAAGCAGGCTCAAAGACCGTCAACAGTGGTGATCGGACAGCGCCTCTGGTCGTTGACTACCACAAAGATGCCTATCCCTGGGTGGCCGTGCTCATGCTCAGCGATGTAAGTGGTATTTGATGGCTGATGCATCGTTGGCGAGTGGCTGAGTACTAGATTATGCGCTGGTGATATTTTGTAGGTAAGCAAGATGACCGGTGGAGAGACGGCTCTGCGTAAAGGAGACGGCTCGCTGTTCAAAGCTCGAGCTCCCTCTCTGGGCTCCATTGTTGTGATGCGAGGTGGTAGTATCACCCACTGTGCGCTGCCATGTGAGGGAGCAAGCGAGCGCATCACAATGGTGACCAGCTTCCGACCACGTCACTCGACGCAAGACTTTTCCGTAAGTCGACGCTCGCCGTCGCAGAACGCGTTGGACGTGATTGCTGACGCAGCACTTTGGACTGCTGATGCTTCTGCCTTTCAGAATCTGCACAACATCATCGACTGCAGTAACTTGAACGAGTTGTATGAGCAGTGGACCGAAGCCCGCCTGGATATCCTTGGCAACAAATTAAAGGCGTACAAGCAGGTCCTCGCCAACCGACGCAGGCGTCTTGAAGCGAGAGATGGTGTGCTTGGTGGGCTGAGGGAGCCCACCGTCGACCTCGAGGAGCTGCACCGACTGACGGACGAGATTGTGAGCGTTCCATTCCTTTTCGCGCGCAAGCCCCGCCGCTGATTTTCCTCGTCGCTGTGCCCAAGAACGAGCATATGAGCAGGACTCTGAGCGAGATGGCGGTGAGTTAGAGCACGCTGGCGAGAAACACTCCGAATGAGAGCGGTGCTGATTCGTTCCGCTCTTCCTTGTCTGTGTGGCGCACCCCTAGCCTTATACATCTTCGCGCAACGTGTGGACTCCCAAACCGCGCATCCACCTGTAAAACCGAAACGACATCATCCGACGTGCCTTCCTCACACTCAGCTACGCAAATCGCGGACCGGCTGACCGAGCGAGACGCGGCGCGGAGCGGCGCAGCACCGGTGATGCCCATTTGCGAGTCTTAGACCGTACCGATAGGTCAACTCAGGCAAACAGGTGCCATGTCTCCTTTTGCTTGACGAGATATTCATACACCCTTAGATGCCTGCTTGTGTCTCCTCGTGTCCCCCTCGAGCCCGATTCCATCTTCTTTCACGTGTACCTGAGCCTAGACTTTCTCGTAATGACTTGCAATGATCATCTTTTTCGCTGTCGTCCCGAAACGGTGCATTGTCCGTTCCCGCAACGCCCCTTGTATGCCATTTCAGTCAAGGGGGGATGGCACGACCAGAAGAGCATGAAGGAGCTGTCACTTGTGTGGGACAAAGGTCCTTCCTCTCCACGCTCAAAGAGCGAGCGTTCGATGTCTGTTGTGGCACAGCGATCTCGAAAGGTGCCGGAATGAGGGAACGGGTGATGAACGGCGAGGACGGTGTGAATCGATTCCAGATTCACGATCATCATCACGAATCTCCGCGTATAAACCGCTGCATTTGATTCAGGATTGCCTCTCTCGCGAATCAAGCGCGCTTTACATTGGCGTAATACTCGTCAAATCTATTTTCACTCTTGAATCTCAAATTGCACTTTTGACTGACTTGTTTGTGACTTAAGACTTACGCGGCGCCGCGCATGAATCACGAATTAGAATGTGGGAATTTGAATCTTGAATTGTTGATTTTAAATTCTGAATTTGTATCCAAGTCGCGTCACGCGGAGCCTGCAAAAAGCGGGTGCTCAAAGCTTCACGTGAGGAATGGCAGATTCGGCCTTCAAGACACCGAGATTGGCCGGCCTGCAAGTCCCTCTGATGGAAAGTCATGCAGCACCAGCATCGGGATACTCGTGAGTCAGTCACGAGTCGTGACTTTGATACTGTGATAGGCGGATTCTGCTGTCACCCCCGCTGCGGTGGCGGCGGGCGCACTTGCAGCTTAATCGGCCAAATGTATTGTGTGGTGCAGCTCAATTGACCGAAAGCCTCGTCAGTCAAGGAGTGCGCCGCTGCTGGCTGGCTGGCTTGCTGCCTGCCTGCCTGCCTCCATACATGTGTGCTTTGCCTCGCCTTCGCTGCCCACACCTCATCACCACTCACGACTCATCAGCTATGCGGGCCTTGTCTCACTCCTGACCTTCGATGTGGCTTGCCAGTCAAAGTCTCTGCTCCGATCGAGCCGGCGATTGATTCCGGAGGCTTTCTTCCTCTTTCCAGCATCTGCTGCTACCGGACGAGCGAGCCCCAGTGTGTTCTCTCGTCACCCTCACGGGCTCTGCAGCTGCGAAGCATCACTCTTATCCAAGCTGCGAGGTGGTTTCTACTGCGTCACATCGGCAACATATCGGCCATTCAGAGCGATAGCACAACCGGGCAAAACGCATCACACTGGCGCCTCCTCAGTTAAAAGGAGGATCCCTGAGCCGGCCGCATCCGCCTCGCTCTCACTCAAGCTCACAACGCACCAACCAATTAGACGGACAAGTGTAGGCGTGCTTTGTAGACGACGTACCTAGGCCTCTCGGAACGCTCACAAGTCATCGTCGCTGCCATGTCTGCTCCTTCGCTACTATTTCGCGCCGCGCGCCCGATGCCCCGACACGCTTTGAGCAGACGTTGTCCAGGGGTTTCAGTCATCGTCGGGATCTCGGGTGCCTCTCAACGGGGATTAGCAACCAAAGCGGTGCAAGCCGCGGTAGCTGCTCCTTCACAAGGCTCTCCAGCTCGACAATTTGATCTGCCGCCACCGTCGAGCAAGAATCCGAAGCCTAAAGATGGCGGCACCATCGCATCCGTCTTTGCATCTCTGTCTGGAGAAGGCGAAGCGATACTTCCTGAGCGATTCGCTGAGCTCAAGAGATCCATCATCCGCTCACCTCAGCGCGCTCAACTGCTCAAGAAGGCTTTCAGCGAAGTGCTGGTGTCCCTCGACAGTGAACTGAATAAAGTCATCCAACACGGCAACAGACTTATCCCACAGATTCAATATCCCGGAAACGAAGCTGTCAATCTACCCGTGCACAAGTGGCTGGACGCTGAGCAGCTCAGAGAAGTCAAGAAGAGAGGCAGCGTCATCGTCAAAGGCGTCATTCCTGAGCAGACTGCGCTTGCGTGGAAGGAACACATTCGCGATTACGTCCGAGCCAACCCTTCGACCAGAGGTGAGTAGCGGACGTGCGGTGTGTATGCACGTGGTAGCCCTACTGATGCAGCCCCAGTGCACGCTCATCTTTTCAGGCTTCCCAGATGACAATCCACAAGGGTTCGAGCTGTACTGGTCCCAAGCACAATTAGCAGCCCGTTCTCATCCTTCCTTCCTGGCTACCTCTC